GATGGATGGATGAGTGGATGGATAAATAGATGAGTGGATGGATGGATGGTGGATGGATGATGGGTGGATGGATGGATGATGGATGGATGATGGATGATGGGTAGATGGATGGAGAATGGATGGACAAAGCTAAAGAGCTTTCACCTAATTACCTTCAAATACCTCCAGGAGGGTGCTGTTGAAAATCTGAGCCAGCTACCTCAACCTAGGTGGGAATGAGTTTAGCTAGAATCTTCTAACTTCACTAACAGCCATCCCTGAGAGAATGACCTCACCTATGGCATGAAGACAATCAGAATCAAGCATCTCAGAGCCAGAAACAGCAGGAGCTGGGTCCAGGCCTGGGAAGAGGAAGCTGAGAAGCCCGGAGACCAGCCGTGTCCAGAGCTCTCAGCCATGCCCTACTCATGGTTCTGGCAGCCAGCTCTCCCCAACTTCCTCTGGCTCACAGGAGCCCCTCCTGGGCTCTCTGTTTAGTGGGAAACACTGTCTCTGGCCCTGTATTTGCTGGGGCCCACAGGTGAACCTCAGAACCCTCCCCGACACGTCTGCTCACTGCCTGGCTCCACATTCAGGGACTGGTCACTGTGAGGCCATATGCCACGAGGGTGGGGGGATGAGGGAGTAAAGGAAGCTCTTGCCAGCTACCAAATGATGCACAGCTCTGGCCAAGCTGTTGCAAGTCCTGTCACACCCTGCAGTGAGGCTGAACAGGTAATTAGCAATGGACCTGCTGAGCAGCACCAAACAGACTCTGTAGCGGAGCTGTGCTGTGCAGATTCAAGTTCAGGGTCCCAAGGCTGACAACAGAGCAGAGGGTTTCTGCACCCTGATTCAGCAATTTTAGAGTTCCCATAAGATCAGTAATTCATCATAGAGCCCTGACTAGAAGGTCCACAAGGGAAAGAACCAGGCCTTCTAGTCTATTCTGTTACCACCATGCGCAGAGCCCCAAGCTTGCACTAAATAAACTCTCCTGCCTGCGTGCCAGGTGGACAGAGGGGGGTCCTGTGCTGGCAGCAGCCAGGTGGAGCCCCACATCCCTGTCCTCACAGACCATCTGGTAAGCCGGATGCTGTGTGATAGCAACCGTGTACTATATGCAGCCACCTCGTCCCCTGGTGCAGTCACATGACTGACACGTCCTGCACTTCCCAACGTTCCTTTACAGGTGGGGAGTTCAGGGACAAGGGACCCCTCTGACTTTCCTCAGCGATCAGGCAGGCAGGTGTGCAGTGGGTCAAACTGTGTCCAGCCCAGCCCTGCGTCCTCGTAGCTTCGCCACTTTGAGCCACTTCCCTGAGCCCCCTTTTCTGCTCTGTCTGCCTTGTCTGCCTGAGGACGTTGTTCACTCATTTGTTCTTCAGCCACTGCGTGTCAGGCACCAGTAATGATGTGGCCCTGTCCTCACGGAGGCTGCAGTCTGCTCCGGAGAGACGGGCAGAGGCTGCTCTCTCTGGGGCTCACCCCACATCTTCCTCACCAGCAGGGTCACCTGACGACACTGAAAGCTGCACGGCCCCTCCCACAGGGCCCTGCGTTCTGGGTTGCTTTAGACTTGGGGAAAATACCCGTGGTTTTTTTGGTTTTTGTATCGGCCACCAGGCAGCACCCACTTTGCCGGACTTGGGAGCAGATGCGAGAAGGGATGAGGTTCAAGTAAGCCTCGGGGCTGTCACTGAGGTGCACAGCTCCCTCCCTGGGGACTGGGCCAGCACCAGAGGGAGCTGACACGGACAGGCCTCGGCGCGCGACTCCAGATGCCTCCATTGTCTGGACCTCACTCCCTTAAGCTACTGTGCCTGCGGCTCTGTCTGTCATCACTCTGACAGCCAGAGGAAGGGTCACCCGGTTTCACAAAACGGGGTGGCAGGACCTCAAGTCAGGGGCTCTGATGAGCACCCAGACCCACTGACGCAGGGTCTGTGGAGTTGGGGCCTGGGATCGATGCTTTTGAACAAGCTCCCCAAGTGCCTGTGAACCCCAATTCTACCACTTCCTACAGCTGTGACCTTGGACAGGTCACCTAATTTTTCTGGCCCCAGGTTCCCTCATTTTATGGTAAGGAACGTGATGGAACCTGCCCCCGTGGGTTGACTCGAGGTCTGAATAAGTTGGTATCTTTCAGTCTCTCAGGACAGGGTTTCGTATGCAGTGGTTATGGTACATGTGTGTGTCAAATAAAATAAGTCTCGGCAGATGGGGCCCACCTAGCATTACTGTATTCCTTTGGGCTTATCACTTCACTCGGCCCAATTTCCCTGCAACACTTGGAGCTCCTGGGGGTCAGCTGTCAAATCTGCAGCTTCTCCGTGCGCCCCACCTGCCCCGAATGGGGCACACACGGAGCTCACCCTCCACGACACGCTGTGAAGACTTGCTCCGGCTCCTTCCACTGGCGCCACGCATGCATTTTCCCAGCTCCCAAAGCACCCTTCTGATTGGCTCGAGAACCGTGGCTGTGTTGAGGGGCCTTCCAGCGGACATCGCATGCCATCACCCCATAATCCCCTTAAGCCCAATCAACACACGGCTTTCACGTGTTTCACAGAAACAGACCAATCACTCTTGTCTTCGCTTGTGTGCTGCAGAGACAGCTCTGGAATGAGGATCCCCAAACGTGCTTGCACTGGTCTAAATTGTGTCCCCTTAAATTCCTATGGTGAAGCCCTACCCAGCGTGATGGTACTCAGAGGCAGGGCCTGTGGGGGACAATTAGGGTTAGATGAGCTGGGGGGGGATTATCACCCTGATAAGAAGAGACAGCCGAGAGCTCGCTCTCTCTCTCTCTGCCTACATGAGGACACGGCGAGACAGTAGCCACCTGTGAGCCGGGAAGAAGGCTCACCAGAGCCCGCCACGAGGGCACCCTGCTCTCACACCTCCAGCCTCCAGACCATGAGAAATCGGTCTGTTGCTTAAGCCGCCCCACCTGTGGTGTTTTGTTCCTGCAGGCCCAGCGGGCAGAGAGTGATCTAGGAGGAAGGGTCCCCAGGTCCAGCCTGGGTCCAGGTTGGGAAGCAGACACCCCCAGCTGGCACACTGACAAGGGGAAGCCTTCCTACCTGTTGCAGGGTCTCTGCCATCATTCCAACCCTCACTTCCAGGGGACTTCTGGGTACCATGGTATTCAGATAAACCTGCAAAGCAAAGGGGCTGAGTGCTGACACCACTGAGGAGCCCTCCTCCGCTCCCCCATATCAATGTCTTCTGGCCAGCAAGGGGGGGGGGCACACCCACAGGGAGGTGGTCAGAGCTCTTTTGGAGGGACAGTCGGGTCAAGGGCAGTTTGCTCACGTGTCACCTGTTTGTGTGGTGGCAGGGAAGGGAGAGAGGGGCAGACCTTGTAAACACATAACTAGAAGCTCTTGCAGGCCTATTGCTTTTTATTTCTGCACCAAAGGTATAAAAATTCTAATGTGAGCAGTGTAGGTATTCCTAGCAGAGATCCATGGGCAAGCTCTGCGGTTGCTCTGTGGAGAGGGAGCATGAGTATAGATGTTCTGCCACGTTTTGGGTCCACAAAAGCTCAGGGAGACACCTGTGCCATGAGCACGGCCTCCACATTTGTGAGTGAGGCACCTCCACCCCTAGAAACCAGGACCAGCTACATAATTGACAGGACCTAGTGCAAAATGAAAACATGGGATCCACTGTCCAAATATTAAGAATTTCAAGGGCTGGCCAAGTGGCGCGTTGGTTAAGAGCTGGCTTGGGATGCCAGAGGGCCTAGGTTCGGATCCCACATATGAGGGCCAGTGACACTGCCCTCTACAGCTAAGATGCTGAACAACAGCTCAACCTGGAGCTGGGCTGCTGTG